TAAGGAGGAGAAATTTTCGATATTCAGATATGAGATCCTTGAGTCAAGGCTATTGTGCGCATGACCACAGTCAAGAAGAAGTTTAGCCACATCGACAGCGTGTCAGGGTTCTCCGACTGGGAAAGGGCAGTCAGACTGATAAATTATATGACAGGAACTTTCATTGAGAACAAGTTGAAAATAGTCACCACCACAGTAGCCGAAATACGAGAAGCTGAAAAGCTAATCTTTTTATAAAGAGTAACAACAGACAACATTCAAGAATTAAGTATAAGCCGTAAGCAATGGAACGCTAAAAAACAAAAGTAAAAGTTCCCTATTTAGGTTGGATCGGATGATCAAAATCAATGATCGATCGATGATCAAAGAACGGTGAGAGTCGGTGGGAGGCTTGAAATTCCGCCTTACCATTCAGCGTTAGACATTCGGTAATCTTAACGGAGCGTTTTCAATTAACATCTTATTAAAAACCAAGGAAAAGCAATGAGCATGAACGAGTTTCGCTCTCATCTAGTGTCGAAAATCTACGTTGTTGTAATGAATATATGTTTTCGCAAAATTGACTTATCTAATCACATACGGTAGGGGCGCCCTGAACACGGTTTCGTGCGAGGTATTATGGACGGGGAGAGGAGAGAGCTGGGCGGACAACTACGCACTCAGTGAGAATCAGCCAATGGGTGTTTGAACTGGGCGCGCGAATATCTTCATTTGCGTTAATTGTAGGACAGCAGTTTTTAGAATTAACGCGTCCACTTGTGAGGCATGCAGAGAATACAGCCAGGGGTTTTCATTTGAAGGAGGATGAATCACTTTGCCAATGGCTGCAACCTGCTAATAACCAGCTGCGACCAGCAAAGATGTTGTCTGGCTCGGAGCTGATTTGCGACACTTTCGCGTAACGCTTCTGCGTTAGTCACTATTGCGTTACGATATCATGATTGACTTTTAGACCGATCATGCGTATTTTTACTGTCTTCTCAAACTATTGCTACGTTTTGTTAAATAAATCAGATCGAAGGTTTTATTTTTGCTTGACAGTTTTTCTTGTTCAATTCGCCTGTAAAATCGCCCGTAATAGGTGGGAGATGTATAAAGCTTTTCACGCAGCACGAGTATATATCAAGTACGTTATAAAATTATTGCAAAATTAAAAAAAAAAAAAAAAAAAAAAAAAAAAAAAAAAACATGCGCGTTGCATGCGATCCATTGGGAACCAGTGAAATCTTAAGTTAAAATTCCGGCAACATAAACTTAAAAAAAAGGAAGGCAGAGGGATATTGTACAAACACGTTCAGACTAATGATCATATGACGCAGAACTACATTAAGACGCTTTACAAACAAACAAAGTCCAAGTAAGGAGTCAGCTCCTGAAACATTCATTGGCATGAAGGATGATAAACGTGATCATCAAGATTCAAAGTTTTGAGCATGTGTTTCAGAATTTGAATGAGAGTCGTCCATCCACTATCGTTGTAAAAGTCTATCGAAGGAAGACTTAACAGAACTCCATACTGTTTGCTCATCAATTTAATATAAAGTAAAATCATCTATGTAATTGAATAAAAAAGGCCTAAAAAAATTCATGCCTGTACGGGATTTGAACCTTAATTTCACTACCGCTTGAGTAGTGTTCATTAATGCGAGGATCGCTTCCATATTCATTTGTTTATTCGCAGTTCACATGTATGATTTTCATATGTTTACAGTCATTTAGTCTCTAAATTACTGCTCAAGACCACATAAATACAATCGGCACTAAAAACGCCCAGTGCAACCGTTATTCTTGTACGGATGGCACTCAGTAAAAAATTAGTGCTCGTGGCTCAAATAAAAATTCAGTTAATATTAGGTATGATAATAAATCTTTGTTGAGATTTCCGAAAGAATTTCACATCACAGGCATGTGCTAATATCAACGTTACTCTTCATCGTTTTGACTGAAAGATTCTCTCTGGTCACTTAGCGTTCCAATAAACAATTCGGTCTTATCACCAGCGAGATAAAAGGAATATAACAACAGGTGATTTAAAATGTGTCCTCCATTTCTTTCAATTCGCGATCGAGTTTTAACCATCGACAAGCAATTAATCTGATCAAAGTATTCGCCATCTTAAAAATTTGTACCACTGCTCAGAAAACCAGATGGTGTGAAACGTTACCAGATTAATCGAACAATGTTATTTTGCATTAGGATCTAAGGGTAGAGTAACTTGATCTAATTATCCACTAATGTGAGGTAAATACAAACGTTAATGTTATTATTTTGAAAAAGTATCGGGAGCTTTCAAGATGTAGGAAAACACACACGTCGCATACAGCAAAGTTAACACTTTGTTAAAATGACTTATTTATTCCAGGGACTTGTCCAACAACCAGTTACAAGATTTACCGGCAGGAGTGTTCGCTGGCATCAAGGTTTCCGAAAGGGGGAGGTTGACGCTGTAAGTAAGACTCCTATATACTACAAATAAACGTCAATAAAGAGCAAAACAAAATATCAGAAATCAATAAATTGAAATTAAATGTGGTTAACTATGAAGCCAAACACCCAATAGCTCGAGCCACCGCTTTCTGACCGTCTATAACTGCTTAATAAGATCACATAAAGTCTCTTGTTTCACAAAGTTTGTATTATAGCTGACGGTAACGAAATAGTTTTTTCGCCGTGTTGTTACTGTTTAATCAGAAAAAATGATTGCCCCTAAGGGTTCCTCAAAGTAAGTATTGAAATGTGTGTCCCGAGGGGTTTAGAGGATACATCTTTTTAAGATGATTTTAAATATTTCGTTAAGTTTATCAATTTAATTCAATAAATGAGGCTGAATAAACAATGAATCGATTGTAGTCACGAGCGACGATTATCCTTATGATACATTTCCGGTAAACAGCTTCAGATATTTGAATCATGGACCATGCAGGGTCAGAGGATGGCACATAAAGTTTATCATATCAATCTGATTATTACTTCTTCAAATTTTAGATTTCATTTTCATTTTAGCCAAGTAATCGAAAAATTGTGTCTCATGGTTTTGAAATCATTACCTCTACTTGCAATTGGGTGTGCAGATAGTATAGACCTCAGAAAATGCTAAATAAACAATGCTATTCGGCCTTAGGATAATGAAATATTAATTAAGCCACTACGTTAATTTCAGTGAGGCCAATGAAGATATATCCGATAATGTTAAAAATAGTTGCACATTATTTATATCGTATCAGGAGTTTTTTGAATTATATACTTTGTCACGCACCATGCAGATATTCCTTTTAATCTGGATTATAATTCATATAAATTTCTACGAACTGACTCAACATTTTTCTTTAACACGAGGTTGTTTTGGAGAAAGAGCCATCGTGACTTATTTTCGATCGCTTCAAACACTTGCTTTTTATGCAAAATACGTGAATCAATCAGCACGTTGTGTCAAGATTTCTTTCAAACCGATAGAAAGTGTTTGCGAAATGCCGCGTACGAACGATTACAGTCGACAGAACATGTCTGTGGTGGAGCTTTTCATCGAAATTTTCAAAAAGAAAAACTGTCCGAATCAGCTGTTGTAATACATAGATTTTGAAACGAAGTACGAAACCATCTTTTTACAGTGTCAGCCACTGTTTCATCGATAGCTCAACTCTAGCTCGTTCATCAGCATGTTTGAAGGGTATCTTTTGAATATTTCCCCATCTTTTATTTTGGCTTGGTTCTCTTAACAGAAATAGAGAGCGAAAACGTTTTCTTCTTTGTGCATTGTTTACGGCGTCGAAGTTTCTCCTGCTCTGGCCCTTTAAACCCCTTTCCTGTACTGCGAAACCACGGCTTGATTGTAAGCACAAGAAACTTCTTCAGTTGCGTGGATTATTTGAGCTATGGTACCGTCGCACTAGATTAAATGATATGTGAGTTTTTCTACCCAAAACTGACGTTCCTTCCCGAATTGGAAAGACACTGAAGGGCGCTCGGTAGCATGTGAAACACAATTTATTCAGTCCAGCGGATTTGACATCATATCAAGAAAAAAGTCAATAATCGTCTTTGCCTTGTACCACCACTCGATTCGAAGATGGCAGAAAGCGATTGTATCTCGAAGTATTGCTCCTCCTTTGAGCGAGGCAACACTTACTCCTGGAATATCTAATGATAATAACAATAATAATAATGGTAAAGATAATAAAAATGATAATAATAATAATGAGGATAGTGATAATAACAGTATAACTTTATTCACAATTAGAGATTATTTTCAAGATACAAATGATAAAATGAACATACGAAATTTCATAAAAATTCAAAATTATGTATAAGACAAAAGCATTTTGCTTGAAAATTGTCCCACTCCAAAACAAAGAAAAAAACTTTAGATTCCCGCAGTGGCGACGTTTATTTTGCAGTCTGAGGAGTGTTCTATCTTGCAGTGAAAAGGTGTTCGTGATCCTCTCACGCATGCGTGTGCCGATCTTAGATGTTCGAAAGAGATTTGTGTCCTGAGCCATGCGATAACGGTGTTATACGGCTAGGTGTCCTTCTGAGCTATCTTATCTACAAGATGCTTCAGGAAACGCTGACACTCATTTCCCATTCCGCTATTGCATGGTTCAAACACTAAAGGTGTGAATGAACTCATCTCTACATCTAGCACCCGCTGCTGGTACTTGCGTTTCTTCTCGTCCTCTTGCTCCTTGAATACTTCAGATGCTGTCTTGTTCTAGTAACACTCTAATCTCCTGCTTATTAAGGGCTAAGCCCTGATCTGCGAGAGGCATCGCATTTAACCAAGAACTTGCGCCCTTGTCTCTCTATTGATTAACTAGTCGCAGCAGATCTGGGGAAAGAGTTGAGTTAATGCCTTCCATTTTCTCTTTGTCACGCGCCCTCTTAAGTGACTGATGATTTCTCTTAAGCTCCTCCGTAGAGCTTTCGCCTGGCGCCATAAATGTACTCTGCGATTTGATAGAATCTACGCGCGCAGTAGTTATTGACTTCGAGGCAACTAACTGTTATGGCGCCCCAGCTCTCAAATCTGGCATGCCCAGACCCCCTTGAGCCGTTGTTAAGGTGACAAGTAGACGCACCTCGTTAGGGAGAGGCTCTGATTGACCGAACAAAGTTGGAAGAAGTAGGTCGTCAATCGCCTCCTGGATTGGATCGACATAATCCTCAAACGAATCTATAGTGCGCATGAAGTAGGTGAACTTTAACTTGCACCCTTTTATGAAGACAATGTACGCTGTGTGAGGCTAACTCTTTTCAGAGCCGTTCGATTTCCTACTTTCCATATGCGAATTTTCTCCTCACAATATTGATCTTTGTATTCTTGCGACGCAATGACTGCTCCTTGATGGCGCTGACCTTCAGTTGTTTATTGACTTCATCTCCAAACACCCTCTTTGCTTCATCTGCAAGTGCCTCAGACTTAACAATCAGCTAGCACTTTGACCCGTTCACCAGATATCCAAACTTTTCTCCCTCTTTAATCAATTGCTTGTATCAGTCGTACAACTGCGCGATTCTCCCTCCTCCAGCAGAGTCGTCTGCAAGCCACACCTGTTTAACCATCTGGCAGTGCGCCCTCAGATTCTTAATCATTATAGATGTATTGACTGAGTACCATGGCATCGCTAGGGAATCCCCTTGCGTAGTGCCTTCTTGTGAAAGTATTTCACCTCCACCGCAGATAAGCAGTCTAGATGGGCTTCTATAGGTGTTTATTACATAGAGCACCATTTCTTTGCACATGATCTGGATACTGTGCGAAGCCGCTGACCTGTTCATTTGCTTAAAGGCGTTATTTGCATCGATCAACAGAATCCCATCTGTTCCTTCTTCTTCAAACACTTGGCTCGTTGCATGTATCACAGCTTCCGCTCCTGCATTATGACCAGCACAAACTTGTGGGGGACCTGCCGCTTCTTTTATTTCCTCCTTAAGAGGCCGCTGACCGTTTTCCCCACTATTCGCCTCAGGACGTCTCCAACGCCGATTGGTCTGATTCCAGGGTTCTTGTCGAGCGGGATGAGCCCGCAAGATGTGAAGGCTTTGAGTAAACATGGATGATACGATTTCTTAGGCAGATTTCTCGTGAACACAGCTATCTCTCCTCTTTGAATTTTACCCTCAGTCTTAAAGTTGTTAGGGCACAGGATTCTCCTATAAAGTTCCGAGTCCATTCCTGATGGCCCTGCCGAGCCTTGGTTTTGCTTGCTGAGCTGTGAATCATTTCTTCGTCTATGAGATCATACACGTTCGGTGGAATGTAATCAACTGGACCGTGCAACAAACTCTCCTCTGCAATATCAGCCGCCTCTGGGTGCTTGTCATGTAATCCTCGCAGGACGTCTGGTGATAGGTCGAGCAGGCCAGACGAGCTCTCGTTAACTAGGAGTTTCATTGCAGCTGACAATTTTCCTTGCAGAACCAGTTTTGAAAAAACTTTGGATACGTCCTCGACCGTCCTAGCTTTCTTAGAGTTCACAAATTTCCCTTGTGTAAACCTCACTTCTTTAAGTAATAAATTAAGGTCGCCTTAATTGTTTCCAGAGAACTAGTCGACGCTCTATTGCTGCGCTGTGTTCCTTGCTTTTAGAAGTAGCGGACGGTTTCTGCAGGATTAAAGTTGGGAGCACCATGAATACTTTCAAGGCAACTGAGTTCAAATCAGAATCTGCATTGAACTGCTTAATCCAGAAAGTTAATACTTCAATGAAACTCTTCCCTGCACGGCTAGATGGTACATTGGATATATTTCTCCTGTAGTAGACGATTTCGTCGTAAACATTATTGACAATATTACAGAAGCTCACGTGTCTAATATTACCCCATGTTTTGTTCTTTATTTCGGAAGGAAACAACTCATAATCGGGCAGATTTGGTTTAATTTTGTTTTGATCTGTGACTATTGTACTAGCCAGTCCCGTGGGAGAAGGTACTCGACCACCCTTATCTTCCCATAAATCTGCCATTACTTCGATATAACCCTTCTTCCTCCCGGTAGCGTTTCGTGGAGGGTCTACAGACGATATCAGATCCTTCGCTTTCCTCTTGCATTCCAGAAGATCACTATTCATACGCTCTGTCCATTTCACTTTAGCCTGTTTCCACGACATATCTTGCAATGTTCCTCTTTACAACCAGCTCACTATCATCGATGTTGGTTATACGGTTTTTGGTTTCGTTTGCTTGTTTAACTTTCTATCCAAATTTGTACCGACGCGTTGCAATTGTCTAATAGATGTTCTAATGGATACGTATTGAGGGTTAAACAGTTAAAAGAGACAAAAATAATAAAATGATATTTAAAATTATTTCATAGGTACTGAGATTTACCCACAAAAATCGTAGTGAATAAAATTCGTACTAATTCTAAATGTAGCCAATCAGGAGTACGAACGACAAAATTTCACCGTGAAAAATTATCGTTCGTCCAATCAGCAACGCGAACGACGAAATTTCACTAATGATGAATGAACGTACTGAAGAGAACGTCATGCGAGAGCCATTGCACAAAACCCGCGCGCTTTGAAAAATGACCGAGGGAAGGTTCGCTTCTGTTTACTCAGTTGAAGAATTCATTTTAGAACACGAAAACAAAAATACCGCTCAAAAAACTGAAAGAGATGTAAGATTGCTTGAAAGATTTTTGAAAACGAAGGACGAAGACAGGAAAATTGAAGATATTCCAGCGGCTGAGTTGAATGAATTCATTAGCGAATTTATTATCTCCGTACGCACTGAAGATGGCAACGAGTACGAGCCGACTTCGCTTCGAAGTTTAATGGCCAGCACCTATGAAATAAACACATTAAAGCATAGAAAATGCTTTGTACGATTTTCATTCACTCGTTGATACGTATCAGAAAACTCACTCGTTCGCTGCGCTCACTCGTTTGTTTTCTGATACTACACAACTCGTGAATAAAAATCGTACGCGCGCATTTTCCATGAAGTAATCTCTATATAGCGGAGCAAGCCGTGGCACGTCCGTTTACCACTCATTTAAGATTAATAATAGTAATAATGATAATAATAATAATTATGATGGATCTAGATGCGCAGATTCCAGCACATTTTCAAATGTGCATCACAATTTAAGAGTTAAAATATTACAATCAACTAAAGCTATGAAGAAAAGGGAATATGAATGAAAGGTTACCACAAAGACTACATTATAATTAAAAGAGAAATTTGAGCTACAATAAAACGCTTTGATTAAAAATGCTTATCGTGCGATTTCGATTGTATTTGCACCCTCTATGTTCAGAGGAAGTGCATTCAAGAATTTAAACAGAACAGTAAAAATTGTTCAACTATAGGCTAGCTTCAGACTGAAAACAGGTATGAATTAAAGGGAATCTGTTTATGGAAATTCTGAGATCATAATTAGGTAAGGGGGAGCCCAAAACTTTTTAATTTAAAGAGTCATAAAAGTAGTTGGAACCATTTCAAACTCCATTCTGTTTCTAATCGGTAGCCAACGTCATTAAAAAATAAGCGATGTTATATGGCAAATGTTGTTCAGTTTAAGATTATCGTTCAACATCCATGAACGGGTGTCCCTTACGTGGTGTTTGATGCTTTTCATAGCAAGAAATGCATCCATTTCAAATGATCGCAACTTCCTAAATGAAACAAGCTTAACTTTAAGGGTGGTCAAGCTGTTTTCAGTTTGAATAGCAGTGTCAGATTATCCGAAAACAGGATGTCTGGCATACGTTGACCACTGATAAAGTTATCTGCTGGTTTCGCTTAATTATCGCATCCATGGCCCAGTTCATGTGTTGATTCCGACACGCGTCGATTTAATGATATCAACTCCGATAAATCAAAGAAATGACAAGCCGCCGTATGATTGTGATTATCAAAGCTCATGTCAAAATCACCAGTTAAGAAAAGAGGATCACGAGATAAAATAATGGGTTCCAAGAAGTCTGAAAATTACCCAATAAAACTGATAATAGTCACAAGATTGGTTCTAAGATTACGGTCGACGATATATTATAACCAGTGTAAGACGTGAATTTCGAAGATTTGATGGAGACTATTCGGAACATTCAAAAGACGTTCTTGAACGAAATTAGAGTTTGCGAAAAACCGACCAAAGAGCAGCTTATTGTTATTTTTTTTAATCTCGTTTTCTTGTTCAGAAGTCTGAATGGTGTTACTGATCTCAATGTTCATGATTTTGTTTCCTCTTTTTATCTTACGGGCGTCACCTCGCAAGGGTCATGGGGTGCTGTTCGTACCAGGCCTATTGGGTCCACGACTTTTTATGTCTGCTTTGCTTTCTCAATAATTGTTCTTGCTGTATCTTATACTTTCGATTTTTATCGTGTGTTATATTATTGTACTAGTATTATATGAGTAATACCCAATTAGGCTGTTAAAAAAAATAAATAATAAACAGAAGAAGCGTACCCCCACCTTCACGAGTACTTTTGGGGAAACTAAATAGCTTGAAGCCAGGAGAAGCTATCGCATTACAAATTACAGGGTCGTTATCCGATAACAAGGTTTCATTTTTTACAAATAAGTCTGCATTACATTGATAGACGTAATCAGCAAATAATGCAGATTTGTTGGCAATAGAGCGAGCATTCAGCGTGCACACAGTCAGATTAGTGTGGCCGTTGTTGTCTGATGAAGATCGGATACACAATTAATCTGCGCAAGATTGGAATGGTTGTGATGGTTCCTTCGTCTACTTTCAAAGTACAACTATTTGTTGTTGAAGTCGTAATAAGTGGACCAACAATTAGTGTCTCCACTAGCTGCTGAGAGAAGGCGAGTGAGGTTAAAATCGGAGTATGGTGTGTAAGATCTCCAACGAGTAAGGTCACTATGCCTTCTTGTAGAAGATAAAATTTCAAAATGGTGGGTCGAACTCAACGCTGACTGATAGCTTGCATGATGCATATCTACTCTATCCGAGATCTCCGTGCCTTCATCAATGTTTAGGACACGACATACACAGGAAATGAAATTATCCGGATATAATAGGGAGTGATTTAAACAACAGCGCAGAGCAAACAGAAAACGGAGGCAAATTGAGCCGGTGATACAATCACGACTACACGCCACTGCGCAAACTGATCTGTCTCTGTATGTTGAATACACACATGCTCCTTTGCCACTGTGATTAGTAGCCGTTTCTCGATTCTCTGGTTCAGCCGTCTCAAAAGTTATAAAAAAAAAAGATTGATTTCGCAGCCTTCGGTGAACGTTCACACATGCTTCTTTGCTACTGGAATTACTAGACTTTTCTCGATTCTCTGGTTCAGCTGTCTCCAGAGTAAAGAAACACAATTTAATTTCGTAGTCTTAATCTGTGTTTCGGCGAGCATTTTCCTTTCCAGCCTCACACTGCTCTTTAGTCAAGCTCAAAAGTTTTATAAATAACTTTCATATTCTCGATACATTAAGACCAAGAATAATCCAGCCGATCACGCCCCAGGGAGATGGCGAGGAAATGACGAGAGACTAATCAAATCTAATTGTCTCAGAAGGCCTGCTTCCTATAGGGGAGAAAATTCTATTTTTAGGAGTAGACATTTTCGATAATCAGACATGAGAACTTCAAGTTAAGGCTATTGTGCGCACGACTTCTGTCAAGAAGAAGTTTAGCCGCATCAACGGCGTGTCAAAGTTCCCCGACTGGGAAAGAGCAGTCAGATTGATAAATTATATGAGAGGAACTTTCATGAAGAACAAGGTAAAAATAGTCACCACCACAGTAGCTGAACTACGAGAAACTGAAAAGCTTATCTTAAAAGAATAACAACAGACAACATTAAAGAATTAAATCTAAGCCGTAAGGAATGGAATACTAAAATCAAAAGTAAAAGTTCCCAATGAGGTTGGATTCGATGATCAAGGATCGATGATCGATCGATGATCAAAGAACGGTGAGAGTTGGTGAGAGGCTTGAAAATTCCGCCTTATCATTCAGCGGTAGACATCCGATAGTCTTAACGTGGCGTTTTCAAATAACTTCTCATTTAAAAAAAACCAGGGAAAAGCAATGAACATGAACGAAATTCGTTCACATCTCGTGCCGAAAATTTACGTTGTGGTAATAAGTATATTTTCGCACAATTGAGTTATCCAATCACACAGGGTAGAAGCGCCCTGAACACGATTTCGTGCGGAGCACTGTACGTTGACGGGGAGAGAAGAGAGCAGGGGAACAACTTCACACTCTATGAGAATCAGGCTATTTAAGAGTTAAAATATTACAAGCAACTAAAGCTATGAAGAGAAGGGAACATAAATAAAAAGTTACTACAAAGACTACATTGCGATCAAAAGAAAAATTTGCTTTACAGTAAAATCGCATGATAGAAATGCCCGTCTAATTAACAACTGCGGCTAGTTACTGTTGCGTTGCGACATTGTGATTGACTTTTGGACTGATCATGCGTGTTTTTACTGTCTTCTCAAAACTATTGTTACATTGTATGAAATGAATGAGGTAGAAGGTTATACTTTTACCTGACTGTTTATTGTGTTTAATTTGCCCGTTCGGTAATAGATGGGAGATGTATAAATCTTTTCATGCAGCACCAGTATCAAACACATTATTACAAATGTATAAAACATGCGCGTGGCCTAAAAAACTGGAACATCTCCTATGAGAGAAAAGTCAAACTACATAATAATTTACTACGTTACCGTTACAACCAATATTTCTTAGGAGACACTTCAAATAGCGCGTGCCGCCGTCCGGTTAAACAGGTTTTATTACTGTACAAAATAACCAACTGTACAATATCGTAGGATATTTGTGATTCACTTGTGCTCCATTCGCGCCATATTTGTACTCTACTTCGTGCAGTTGGATATAATATTGAAATAAAGGGTTGTGTTCTACAGGTTAAAATGTTTGAATGAAGGACACCTCGGAGGTTAAAGTTTATATGACACGAAAATTTTTTCCCCGGATTTTGGCAGTTCAATATGTATGATAAGCTGTGAGAGTTACAAAATGATAATTTTTTTCTCTGACCGCTTTTCTTCATGCAAAACTTGCTCGATTTCTAAATAAAATTCTCAGGAGACTGGGGACGAGAAACAAGGTTATGACGTCACGTTGGTAATTTAAGTGTTAACAACTGGGTTGAAAACGTAAATTAGCCACCGTAAAGGGTAAAAAAGCTGACGTTTCGAGCGTTAGCCCTTCGTCACGTTGTTTGATCGCTTAATTAGTGAACAAAGTAATTTACGACGAAACCACGCGTACTTGTCAAATCCGTCGCTTTTCGCTACGTCTGTTTCCACGACTGTTTCCACGACATCCAGTGATTCCGAGGTCAGTAATGAATCATGTGACTCCTCTAGGAGTCTCGATTGGGCGCAGAGTGACAGTTCTAATAGCGAAACCAGTTATCGATGGTGTTATCATCCCATATGAAGATGAGCCGCTTGCGGATTGCGGCGAAGAAGTAAGCCCGAACGCAAGTGAAGAAGAAACGGGTATTGATGGACTTACCCCGTCGACTTAGGAGTCTAGATTTGAAGGAAATGTGAGTGTGGATTCATGGTAAGTTGAAAGATTTACCGTAATTCCTTTTGAACATAAGCAGGACTGATACGCGCACCGGCGTTGCTAAGTTTGTCCGATAATTTTTCCTTTACCTCTTCCAGGTGTGAATGCGAGCAGTGTGATACTGAAATGTTAGTCGGTGCCCTCGAGTTTCGATGTTGCAGAGAAGTCACTAATTCATCCGCGAAATTGATGTTTGATGGTTCGATCGAACGAATCAATTGCATCACCAAACATGAAGACTTTAACGCCATTACGAACCGCGCCGTTCTTCTGCAAGTCGCTCCTCTCCTTAGACGCCAAGATGGAGGAACTTATCGTCGCCGCAGGGGAGGGTCAGAAAACGAGTAAGGTTTTTTCCTTTAAAATCGGTAGTTCTATGTCATTCTTGTGTTAATCGCTTGACCTAATAATTGGGATACTTGTGGTTTCATATTAATTTTTGAATTCTCCAGTCATAAGAAACGAGTCTCCTGTCATTCAGTTAGGAATGAAGGTCCAGTAATTACTTGAACTGTAGATGTCTTCATTTCTCACTTTTATGTTTACATATAGGTTCATCAGAGCCGCTGCATATAGATGGACAACAAGGTGGCTTTGTGGGTACATAGGCTGGGAAAACAGACAACCTCTCCCAGCTTGTGTTTATCACAGCATAAGGAAAAAATACAACACACGACAACACAGGGGATATGCTAATGTCCAGGATGGAAAGGAGCATTGAACTCTTGTAAATGTACTTCATTGGTCCATGAAAAAAAAATTTGTGATAAAAAAATGCTCCCGGTTTAGTTTCATTAGCATGGGCCATGTCATTTTGTATATACTTCAAAAAATAGTAATAAAGACCATGAGAAAGCAGACATGGATAACAAACTGTGAGTCACTTTATTTGCCTCTTTTCTTCTTGTGACAATGAGATGGCCTTTTGCTTTTGCGGGTGCGTCTAGAAGTGGATTGACTACTGCTTGGTTGACTGTTGCCATCAGCTTGTTGTGAGGTTTGTTCTGATTCTATAGGATAACAATGGTGATATAGTATGTAAGTGCATCGTTACAGTGTAGGTGTGTTACTTTGTATGCCCAATGACAAATGGTGTTTAATCCAGACTGAATACAAATGTGCTTCATTCTCACTTGTCTTGAGTTGGGAATAAAAAATTCACATTTAACATCAAAGCCCATCTACAGGTATTCCCAACTTCAAGTAGAGAGTTACATATCCACAGGTGGATAAATAAGCAGCCCCCCACAGACAGGTGGCAAAGATGAGATAATTCAAACTTACTAAAACTTCATTGTAATATTATATTCATTTCATGTTAAATTTGGATAGTTGAAATGAATGGATTGATAAAGCTATTAACTAACCAGGTGGAAATAATGCTGTTTTCTTCATTGCCTTTTTTGCGATATATGCCTTTATAGCTTCCTCCTTGCTCAATCTTTCTGAAAACTGCTGATTGAGGGGCTCAGGTGTTCTTGATGCATACTTCTTAATTATTTCCTCCCTCTTTTCTTTTGGAAAATAGAAGAGTAGTTTCTTCAAACCATCAACATAACCTGAAAACAACAACAACAACAAAAAATATATATATGTTATAATATACAAAAAGGTATGTTCAGGTTCAGGGTATTTCTAAACAAGAAATAATACTCTTTTAAAGGGTATCACAGTTTTACCAAACGATACAGCAAGTAAAGCAAAGTATTAAAACATTATTCATGTTGTTTTCTTATAAATAAGAGTTAATCCACTGTAGTCATATTTATTCTTACCATAGGTAGGTGGGCATGCCACCTCTCACACAACTTCCTCTCCCATTTTGAATTTTGGGTAGGTGACCCGAATGTACTCTTTTCCATTAAATGCCTTTTGTGTTTCCCTCTGTAAGTTCTCATTGAAATGCAAACTTGTAAGTATGTGCCTTTTAAAAAAAAAAAATTCAGGAATGAGCAAATTCATGTCCATTTTATAGGTTCATCCAAAAAAAAATGACTGGAAATCATTTAGGAGAAAGAAACACCAAAACATCGATATATTCTGATTAAGCAAGAGACATGAACATAAAATTAGTATAAGTGACTCCCTTAGAAATAAATGGGGTAATTTTCTAAGGGAACTGGTGCTGTATCAGTAGAGAAGTGTAACAAAATAATTTGGTTTTATCAACTGAGTTAATTTTGTAGATTGGTCACAGTAAAGTGGTTTTAAAGCTAAGAAAGCCTTAGAACACTTTATGGTGGCCAATCTACATCATTGACTTGGTGGATTTTGAAAATAAAAATCTATGAAAAAAGAAAACGTATTACTACACAATCAAAATTACCTGCTGAGAGTCCCCAGCCAAGTAAAACAAGGCATTTTAAGGCAACTTGTCTGGGCATCTGGTGAAAGTTTCTTTATGTCATTCAGTAACATTTTCTTGGTCAACTGCAGTTTCAGTTTGTCAAATGCTTCAGTTCCTGTTAAAGGTAAATACGCAAGAAATTACACAATGGTCTAGTTTGTTGACAACAGTGGATTAAGTTATTTGCCTAAGGGGTATTGTAAACAAAAACAGAACTGGCAATGGCAAGTTAAAAAAGATTTGCAGTGTACTATTGATGTTCATACCAACTCTAATCCACCTCCTGGGTTCAAGCTGTCCATGACAGCACTGTTTGTAAAGTGGATCTGGGTGGTTATTGTGCTTGTTGCTGACATGATGCAATAATGAATTCCATGTGGCAAGGATGTGGGACTCAAACCCAGCCTTTGTTGAAGTTGCACACCAGTAGAGATGCTTTCTTATTCCCTTCATCCACTCTTTTAGAATTTCACATCCTTTCTCTCTACTCAGAGCCAACAACTTTTTCCCTAGTGATCTTGCCACATGCCATATATCAAAATAGTGCTTGGTGTTGACACAGTTCTCCCTAATCCATTTTGCAATGCCTCTGTGCCTATCAGACACAAAAATACCAATTAGCAAACCAAGATACTGCAAAAAAGAAAGACACCTCTTCGCTCCTTCCAGTTCAGTCTGCTGACTACCTCCAGTTTCATTTGCCTGAGACAAACAAGAAAATAAAGGTTATCAAACCACCAGGAAATACCATACAAATCATGGGTTCTTGTAATTTTTATTATTATTATTATTATTATTATTATTATTATTAATATCATTATCATTTTGTATATTCATCAGACCATTCCATTTCAGTGAACCCATAATTTATATCATAATTATTTAGGTATATGCCACACAGAAACCCAGAAACCAAGAAAAGGTTTGAAAAATTACATTGTTGAGACACATGTTTGTCTCTGCAGTTGAGGAGGTGAATAGTATCTGCTAGCCACTTCCAACTAGCCAATCAGCATACATGAAAAGCACTATTCATACAAAACTTACCTGAACTAATTCAAAGTGGACAACCTTCAAGATTGTGGTACAAAACATTGTGTACACTCCATATTTGGCAGAGTGCCCCAAGGAGTCAAACCTACCATCCCCACTCCAAGCCACATTTTTTATCTTCTTTATACTCTCTATCAGATTAGCCTGATATCTTTCCTAGTATAGAAGGACAGCAGGGAGCAGGAAAGATCTTTGATGTCGAAAAAAGGTGCAGCCAGAATATCCACAGAGCTCCATATGACAGAACACCAGCAAGACCTTGCTTATAGATGCACCAGCCACCAAGACTCCAAAATTCGATAGGATATTACCAACAAGGAATTTTCCCAGAACAGTTGGTTGTGATTTCCAAGAGTACTCTTGGTGACATTGTGAACAAGTCTGAGTCACTTTGACCAGGGTTCCACACTGCCTCATTCTAGCTTTTGGAGAATTTCCTTTGCAGTTGAAACAGAACATTGTAAACAGTTGCAACAGCATGCTGTAGAACATGATGAACTTGGGTTCATCATACCCAGGAGTGTCAGAATCAACTCTGCAAAATTTAAAGTGTGTCTTGGTCATTTGAATCATATGATACCCTATTATTTACTTTGATGCCTATCTACTATATTTCCTAGTTGCTTTGAAGATATTGAAAGTGACTGTGTGCAATTTGAGCAATTCTCCATTATTTTTCAAGTCTGGTTTGCAAGAGGATATGCCCATATGTTCCAGAGTAATCATAAAAACAGTCTTTAAAATGGAGCAGAAAACTATATTTTAGAAGTAAATGAATGCATTTCATTATTTAAGAAAAAGATTATGAATATAATAAAGCAAAGAAGGTTGTTACGAATAGTACCCACCTGATATCCTTCTCTAAATCTTCATCTGATGGATCTTCTTCAGTCTCATCCTCTCCAGTGGAATCTGTGGAGCCCCTCTACAACTTCCAATCCTCATCCTTTGTTTCTGTTTCTGTTTCTGTATCAAGCGCTTGACCAAACAAACAAATCCTCAGGCCCACGTTCCTCCTCTATGACATTTTCCTCCTCAGTTTCTGTTTCAGTCACCTTCTGTTTAGTGCAAACCATCAAAGGGGATTCAAAAGTTGTTGTCTTCATGAATGAAAAATCCTTAAACATGTATGTTTTAGTAATTCACAGCATAATAATGTATTAATGCGTGTTGAGTATGGACAATGATTTTCTACATGATGCGAAGGTACAAGAGAATAAACAAAATAATAGGATGGTTTATTTCAGTACTCACACTTTTTAGCTCCCTTATCTCCTTTTTCTGTTCTTTCACTGCGGTCTTCAAGCGCCTAACTTGTTTCTGCAAGGTTCTCAATTTTTATTTGTGCATGCAGTCTACACAAGAGCTGCCTTGCAGTGGAGTTAAAATTCGGAATGGAGTAACAGCGGAGAGAGGTGTTTCACTGATCAGCGTTGTACAGCTAATATTTGCGAATGTTGAGGCAACTGGTGAAGTCAAATGGGTGGTACATGCCAGAAGAGGAGCAGCAATTGTAACATTGGATGCAGTGGAAATTGTATTGATGGAGCTCTCATGAATGTCACTTGGATCGGAGCACGGATTTTTCTCAACTCTATCATCAACAACATCGTGAAAATCTAACGAGTTAGAACTTGATGCTCTCGCCTCTTCGACTTTCCTCTTTTTCGCTTCCATCTCGTACTCTGTCAATACATCACGTCTCAACTATAGCCAAAATATAATAAATTCTGATCGATTACGTTTGACCTTATCGAAAGATGACTGAAAATCACTGCTTACCTGACGCTTCTTGCGATCCGTTAATTCTACCGAAACTTCTGACACAACTGCATGTATTGTGGGAATAGAGCCCTTGATGAGGACTTAATTCCGCTTCGTGTTCGCCATACCCTCCAGAGTAAATGCCAAGCTGTTTTCGTAACAATCTCTCCCGAAATGGACGGAACACAATGAGGCATGCTTTGAAATCGGCTCTTTGAAAATCTACTCGGTGGCGCTGCACAAATTTCAACCATTTCTCTCTCACAACGCGATCCACGGTAAATTGGTGCATCGAGATGCCTGGCGTGTAGTTGGTGTTCGTACAGCTTTGATTGTTGGGCGCTCCGGCGACACAATAGCGTCCACCTTCCCTCACTGGCTTCTTCTTTTCCGCCATGTCGTCAAGTGAGAGTACAACAGCCTGACGTCACAGCCTCAGCTCATGTGACTTTTTGGCCGCGCGGTCGAGGAGACAAATTTCAGGCCGCGTTCGCGTGAAGTTCGAACGGAAAAAAAATGCTTAAAACCATTTTTTGTCAAATTTTAACTGTCAAACCGTTTATCTTATATATCTAAGTACCTAAAAACAGTAAAAAAATTTTCGTGTCATATACACTTTAACTTTCCAAACAAATTTGTACCGACGCGTTGCAATTGTCTAATAGATGTTCTAATGGATACGTATTGAGAGTGAAACGGTTAAAAGAGATAAAAATAATAAAATGGTTCTTAAAAATAGCGGAGCCGTGGGACGTCCGTTCACCACTCCATTTAAGATTAATAATAATGATTATGATAAAAATAATAATGATGATGAATCTAGATGCGCAAATTCCATCACATTTTCAAATGCGCATCACAGTTTAAGAGTTAAAATATTACCATTCAACTAAAGCTATGAAGAAAAGGGAATATGAATGAAAGGTTACCACAAAGACTACATTATAATTAAAAGAGAAATTTGAAGTACAGTAAATCGCTTTGATTAAAAATGCCCATTGAGCGATTTCGATTGTATTTGCACCCCCCTATGTTCAGAGGAAGTGCATTCAAGAATTTAAAAAGAGCAGTAAAAATTGTCCACCTATAGGCTAGCTTCAGACTGAAAACAGGTATGAATTAAAAGGAATCTGTTTTTGGAAATTCTGAGATCATAATTAGGTAGAGGGAGCCCAAAACTTTTTAATTTAACGAATTATAAAAGTAGTTGGAACCATTTCAAACTCCATTCTGTTTCTTATCGGTAGCCAACGTAATTAAAAAATAAGCGATGTTATATGGCAAATGTTGTTCAGTTTAAGATTACCGTTCAACATCCTTGAACGGGTGTCCCTTACGCAGTGTTTGATACTTTTCATAGCAAGAAATGCGTCCATATCAAATGATCGCAACTTCCTAAATGAAACAAGGTTAACTTTAAGGGTGGTCACGCTGCTTTCAGTTTGAATGGCATTTCTCTCTCACAACGGGTGGTCAAGCTGTTTTCAGTTTGAGTGGCAGTGTCAGATTATCCGAAAACAGAATGTCTGGCATACGTTAACCACTGATAAAGTTATCTGAGTTCCGCTTAATTATCACATCCATGGCCCAGTTCATGTGTTGATTCCGACACGCGTCGATTTAATGATATCAACTCCAATAAATCAAAGAAATGACAAGCCGATGGTCATTGTGCGCACGACTTCTGTCAAGAAGAAGTTTAGCCGCATTAACGGCGTGTCAAGGTTCCCCGGCTGGGAAAGAGCAGTCAGATTGATAAATTATGTGAGAGGAACTTTCATGAAGAACAAGGTAAAAACAGTCACCACCACAGTAGCTGAAATACGAGAAACTGAAAAGCTTACCTTAAAAGAATAACAACAGACAACATTAAAGAATTAAGTCTAAGTCGTAAGGAATGGAATAATAAAATCAAAAGTAAAAGTTCCCAATAAGGTTGGATTCGATGATCAAGGATCGATGATCGATCGATGATCAAAGAACGGTGAGAGTTGGTGAGAGGCTTGAAAATTCCGCCTTATCATTCAGCGGTAGACATTCGATAGTCTTAACGTGGCGTTTTCAAATAAGTTCTCATTTAAAAAAACCAGGGAAAAGCAATGAGCATGAACGAGATTCGTTCACATCTCGTGTCGAAAATTTACGTTGTGGTAATAAATATACTTTCGCACAATTGAGTTATCCAATCACACAGGGTAGAAGAGCCCTGAACACGATTTCGTGCGGGGTACTGTTAACGGGGAGAGAAGAGAGCAGGGGAACAACTTCGCACTCTATGAGAATCAGGCTATTTAAGAGTTAAAATATTACAAGCAACTAAAGCTATGAAGAGAAGGGAACATAAATAAAAAGTTACTGCAAACACTAAATTGCGATCAAAAGAAAAGTTTGCACTACAATAAAACCGTATGATAGAAATGCCCGTTTAATTAACAACTGCGGCTATTTACGTATACTGTTGCGTTGCGACATTGTGATTGACTTTTGGACTGATCATGCGTGTTTTTACTGTCTTCTCAAAACTATTGTTACATTGTGTGAGATAAATGAGGTAGAAGGTTAAACTTTTACCTTATTGTTTATTGTGTTTTAACTTGCCCGTTCAGTGATAGATGGGAGATGCATAAATCTTTTCATGCAGCACCAGTATCAAACACATTATTGCAAATGTATAAAACATGCGCGTGGCCTAAATCCATTGAGAGCCAGTGAAATCTTTTGAGTAAAACCATGGCTACTTAAACTGAAAAAAGGAAGGCAGAAGGGTATCGTACAGAAGCTTTCAGACTGAAAATCATATGAGATGGAACTACATTAAGACGCTTTACGAAGAAACAGAGTCCACGTGAGGAGTCAGCTCTTAAAGGATTTGGCATCTAGGATGATCAACGTGATCATCAAGATTCTCTCAAGAAAAGCCTCGATCGTCTGTCGATCGACTGTCGCCCATCCTCTATCGTTGTTAAATTGATCGGTGGAAACCTTTAATACTAAGGATTTAAAATTCAGCTGCTGTAACTGATGTAGCCTTTTACTCGATGCATCAGAAAGGATATCAGAGAAGCTTTTAGTTGTTCACTCGAAAGGTAGACGATGGATTTCAGAGGCTTGCCGCTGTTTAATGCGATGACTGAAGATCGCCATGATGAGCTAGCCGCGATGGACCACTTTATTTTTGTTTCCTTATCTTCAACATAAAGTAGCCCTTCAATCACAGGAGCGAATCATGTCTAATAAGTTGTTCATTATCCAACTGCTTTTTCTGCCGAGTTTCTCTGCTAATTTTTTATAAGGCGGGAAAAGCAAAGCGGAAAGAGAAGCGTAGCGCGTGCCGCCGTCTGGTTAAACAGGTTTTTTTTACTGTACAAAATAACCAATTTTACAATATCGTAGGATATTTGTGATTCACCTGTGTTCCATTCGCGCCTTTTTTTGTACTCTACTTCGTGCAGTTGGATATAATTTTGAAATAAAGGGTTGTGTTCTACAGCTTAAAATGTTTGAATGAAGGACAACTCGGAGGTTAAAGGATAGCACGCACAGTTGATTTAATATTCCTTTTTAGCACTTCCCTAAATTTAAAATATCATCTAAACTCTACCCAATTAGACAAAAATTGTCAGTCGCATGATTTAAAAATTGTTTCTTTTAGTAAGATTAGCAGGTGTTACCACCATCAGAAAATATCAAATAAACCGGCAATATTATTCAGCCGCAGGATAGGATTA